TTTTCATTTTCTAGCAATAGTTTTTTTTTTAGCATCAAAAATTTGTCTGATTCATCTGCACTTTCCCAAGAGGATTTTACAGTGCAAATTGTCTAACAGCTTAAGCACAATCTAAAATCTAAATAATAAAAAACACAAAGCCAACATCATTTCACAAAGACAAGCAAACTTGCCGTGAATAGTAAATGGTAAATACTGTTCCATAAACCCAGTTATGAAATTATTGAGTGTGTGTGTGTGGCAACAACTAGTGACAGTGCAGAGACTTGTGAAATGAGCCATGTCAGTGCAGCGCGCTCCAGCTGAGAGTGAAGTTACACATCACATATCAAACGGCCTGTAGTTACACCTTGTGTGGCGACGATGACTAGCAGGATTTGATTCTGAATGTGAACACAAATGCTTCAAGCTACACAAGCCCGAACTGATGCATCATTGCATCCCAAAATCAGGCCGCAAATTCATTGCACAACGCAAATGCAAGACATTGGGTAGATTGACAAATTAAAGTCAGTAAATAAAACTTACAACAAATAAGAGCTGGAAAACGAACCGTGAAGAACAATTTTCTGTACCAAAATGGAAGAGAACAAAAATCTATACCAATTTGAAAGCACTATGCAGTGTAATAATGTCCCGACAGCACCCATCTCTTACTTCTTCCCTGTGGGACTGTTAAACTATAATCAAACTCTATCTGGCATTTTTTTAATAAAGCAGCGCTATCACATTCAGTTACCTAGGTCATGTTCTAGCTCTCTTCCTCTGCTTTAACATTCACAAGACAAATGAACAGCTTAACATCGCTTTGTCTTGTCTTGTCTCTTTCAATCCAGCCTCTGAAACATCTCATAGCAAGCTGTTCAGTTACACTAATGACTCTCAGTATGGGAGAAATAGCTCCAGAAATACACGCTCATGACTACACTGCACAGGCATAAATCAAAGGCATCATTTTCATCCAGCCGGTTGGTGATTGTGATGTGTTTGTGCACCACTATGGAGGGGGAGGGGGAAACATCAGCAGGCAAGCCTGGAGAGGAAATGGTGGTTGCCTTGGAAACCCTAGACTGAGGAAGAGAGCGAGCGAGAGAGAGAGGAAAGGAAAGGAAGAACAAGTGAACAGGCGAGGAGAGTATACATGTAGAGTTGACCCAAGCATCGCAGTTAGTTACCAGTTGTTTTTGTTTTGAGTTGAGGCAAATCAATATGTAGAATGGATATATCGATCTATATGTAAATATATATATATTTCATACAATTTGTGTGTGTGTGTTTATTTTCACCATATATTGCCATCTGAACAAGTAAGTAACAAGTCTGCAACGTTTGATCTGACCAACTGAGGAAAAATGCATTATCATAAATCTCGCTACCAATGGTGATTTCTTTGTAATCCCAGGCTATCTGTAATCAGAAGCATATTTATAACTGGAATATAATTTAATTTCATTCACATGTGTTTCATAAACACATAATCCTTTCTGGATTACAATCCGCCATCAAAATGATACATTTAGTTATTCTGGCTGCTGTGAGAAAAGGCTATAAACGATCGGCCACCTGCAGGATCCTCACATGCGATAGCCTAGTAGCCAGGACAGCTTCTTTATGTTTACAGAAGTGACGTAATGACGCAGTGCCATGCTCGAATTTCCCGCGAAAACCTACCCATACCACTCAAATTATAAAACATTATTATAAGCTAACTGTTGTGAATCGGGCTAAAGTAAGGCGATAGTTTTGAACACTGGCTGGTTATGTACTCGCTCAAATATTGATTTCGGATCATTTTTAACCAAAAAAAGTTACGGATTGCAGCTTTAACTGACCTAAGCTAAAATGAGGTAGCAGTTGTATTTTTATTACAAATATTAATAAATACTGTAATAAATGTATTGCCTCTTGGTTAGTGTTAGTTAATACATTAACTAATGTTAGCTAATAAGTATTACCATATGGCTCAAAATAAACAAAACAATCTTAACTGTTAGGTTCAAACTGTGAACCAAAATAGCACAGCAGCTACTGTCAACTTTTCCACCCTTACGAAAATTAACCATGAATTTATTTTAGTAACCATAAGTAAAGTAACCATGTTTTTTTGACATTGATTACCATTCGTATAACCACAATTTTATTACAAATACAATAGTTAAAATATAGTTAGTGCAGCAAAACAATGGTAAATTTGTTGTTACCATGGTTTAACTATAGTGACCATGGTTGTTTGGTTTTATTTGTGGTAAAACCACAGTTAATTTTTGTTAGGGCAGTGTCAAGGTTCATCGAAATATATGTTTCTTATTCAATTTCTTCATATGAATCTCAAATTAATCCGAAAACAAAACAAACATTGTGAATGAGGTAATCGATAGAAGGTTTTTTATTTCTACTGTCCATCATGTTCTAAGGCTAAAACAAGCCATACTAACTAACGTCAAGTAGGTAGCTAGCTAGGCAGCTAGCAAACACTAACGACCGCTACCTAGCTAGCCGGAAAAATTGCACCACAAACTTGTATGTCGCAATTCCTTTTTCAGCTGTCAAGCATTTGGGACTTACAGCATCAATCTAGTCCAAATGTGTCGACTAATGAGAGAAATAATCTGGGTTAAATATGAGTTGATTGCGGTGTCGACAAAAATGCACTTGTGAGCACTGTACATTTTCTCCACAGAGGTCTCAGTGCATTACTGTCAACACATTTCTGTTTGTTTTTATGAACTGTGGCACAAGTCAAATTTGTTACATATGATTTTGAAACACTGCTAACATTCCTGTCATTTACCTCTAACTAGAGGTTGACACTTTGCACAATATTACACATTTTCCTATTACATCTGACTGAGTGAAAAACCCATTCATAGTGCTTTAAACCAAAATAAGTCACATCGGTTCTTTCTATCTGGTTGCATCATACATTGAGATGGTACCCAGACATATCAGGGAGGGTTTGTCTCCATGTTTCTCCCATAACCCCCCACACAACAATAACAACTTCAATATTACAGGTTGGCTCCTTTTAGCCGAGACTTCCTTCCCTCACAGATCTGCTGGCAGGTTTAGGTTTACTCTTTCCAGAGTAACAAACAAAAGCTCCATTAATACATATAATCAGACCAGGAGAATGTTTTGCAAGAAAAATACAATAAAAAATACTTCCTGTGTCCTAACTAGGCACAATGTGACAAGCAATTTGTCTGTCCACACTAAATGCAAAACTGCATAGAAGATAGTTGATGTCTAACATATAGTCATGAGGAGCAGAATTTTGGACCAATGAGATTTCACAGTGGGCAGAGCTAAGTTAAGTGAAGTGATGTGTGGCCAAGTATGGTGACCCATACTTGGAATTTGTGCTCTGCATTTAACCCATCCAAGTGCACACACACAGTAGTGAGTAGTGAACATACACACACACATACCGTGAACAAACACACCCGGAGCAGTGGGCAGCCATATTGCTGCAGTTGGGGGTTCGGTGCCTTGCTCGTGGTATTAAGGGTGGAAGAGAGCACTGTACATTCACTCCCCCCACCGACAATTCCTGCTGGACCTGAGACTCGAACCCACAACTTTCGGGTTACAAGTCCGACTCTCTAACCATTAGGCCACGACTGCACTACTGTGCAAATGCCCTGCCGCTTGTGGAATGTTGTGGTCAGATGGAAAAGTTCTACATCACTTCTGGTAAGGACACTGTGGAACCAGATCCTCATTTTGTAGGTTCCACTTGAAGTTCCTCATAAGGATTTTGTGCACCATATTTATGGATACGAAAAATACCAATGCTAATAAACCCAAACTATTTGCCGTGAGTAAAACGGGATTCTTAAAATGTATATGTAGAGGTTACTTACACGGCACAGTCCGGAGGTAGAGGTTATCACGTATGATTTGCTGAAGCTCGTGGTCCACTGAACCCTTCTGGAACCGTAGGTTGAGATAATGCCGGAGATCTTTATCCACAACACCTCCTAAAAGAGGTTTTAAAAAAACACAAGGTAATTTAACTGGTAAAAACCTGAGACACCCATACAATTAGTTAAAGTGTGCAGTTCCCCCTCCTTATATTTTCTTGTCAATTGCTGACAGGGTGTACAGCCCTGTTTGTAAGGTAGGGTTAGATAGCATACAATAAATAACACAAATATGCAAAATGGTATGTTTGAATGAGCTGAGATCCACAAGGTTCACTCTTAGGTCCTTACATATTGCGTTTGTTTTCAAGCCTCTCAGTCACCTCATGAAATCCCTTATAGAGCATGTGTCACTTAGCATTATTACATCCTGTTTGTTGAGTCTGAATAAGCTTTATAAAAGCTTTCAGTTGTCACATTCATGGTTTCAATGGTTTCAATATAATAAATAAATATAAATATATTAAATATATTTAAAATACAATATGATTCCCTAAAGATCTACTTTACTGATGCATTCAACAGACTGTGTTGTCTGGCCTATATTTATCAGACGGGTTCCCTAACAACATCTTGAGCAAGATTCACTGAGAGACACCAAGACAAATGGTGAAAATGAAAGGTAGCTTGAGAACTTGTGCTTTCTACCTTTTCTCTAAGGTGAACAAAGGACAGAAAAATGACAAATCATCTTGCGCTACTGTGCCTCAAGAGAATCAAGCAGCTCTTTTTTTCTACTCCAATCATAACCTTGACCATTCGGCACAGCTGAGCATGGATATACTGCTTGGAAATTCAAAAATCCAGCACAATGTGTGAGAAGATCCTTTGAGAATAAAAGCATCTGGCATAAACCTGCACACCATTTCGCAAGTTCAGAATACATTACATCTCATTGTCACCGATAACCTGGTAGTCCAACATCCACTCATGGAAGGTGTCTAAACCAGTTTTCCTTTCTAACATCACCATCATCTTTTTCCCATAAAGCTAGAAGAATAACCATTCTCAAAATTTAGTATTATCAAATCTCTGTATGACATTGTGAATGGAAAACGAAGCTCAAGTAGAAAAAAAATGCAACAATCAAGCTTGCACAGCTGTTGCGGCGGAAAGGACACTTCAGGAATACCGTCACACCATTCCAAGGAAATGACAAAAGGAAACATTTCACAAATAGACTTCTTTGGTCAGAAATCCTAAATAAATATCTCACTTGTCATCATCCATAATTATAATGGCTCTCTCCTCCCGCTCTTTCCCATAAAACTACTGTATCCCAATTGTAATTCCAGCGGTCCAGATGATGTGCTCCTCTGTCACTGGCTTGGATATACTCACCCCTTCCAAAATCCTTGCTGCTATTCCCCTTTATGCTTTCAATCCCATTATTAAACTAGTCCTTTACACATCAATGGATGCAGCAGTGATGGAGTCTCCCGTTCTGCAGCTAATTTAATCCAGAGGAGAGAGGGAACGCGGGAGGAGGAGGAAAAGAACAGATAGAGTCAGAGTCGTCGACAGTCAGGAGACAACAGAGAGGGAAAAAAAGGTTCTGCCAGCCGTGAGCCTATCACAATGAAGCCTGTATTCTCATTTGCTAGGTGGATAATGAAGTCTAATATCGCCCCCTGACTGCAAACAGCAATACTGCAAGGGTTGCGGGTGAGTGTGCCTGTGCGTGATACAGATGCTTTTGGACACACCACCAAAAAGGCCATCTTGTCCACACCAGATGCTTCCTGCTAGTTGGCATCGTGTGAACTTGCTGACCTTGTGAACACATCAGTATCAAGAGTGAAGACGGCAAGTAGTAGCGCCAACTGAGAGAGCACAATGACCGGCCAAGTCCAGCTGGAAATGAATAGGCTATTTAAACATTTATAAAAGTGAAAACACACACACACACACACACCCACATACATATATACATACACATATATACATATACAGTGTGTATATATATATAAATTGCCACAATTTCTGGCAATATTGTTGACTTGATTGCACAGACACTATTTGAAGAGAACTGAACTGGGCTGGATGATGACATCACTGAATCAATGATGAACTGACTGTTTTCTATTGTCCTTTTGCATTTTCTGCACACGTTTTTTGTTTAACACTGTAAAGCTGCTTTGACACAATCTGTATTGTATTAAGTGCTTTATAAATAAAGGTGACTTGACTATATAAGACCCCATGAATTCATTTCATAAACCCCATAAAATCAAAACATTGTTTGTTTGTTTTTTTATTGGTGATTTTAAGCCATATTTTGTGAGGTCCGCAAATTAAACCTTAATATTAATGTTTAAACATTAACATTAAATCTTTAACATTAAATCTGGGAGTGTTTTGGGGGGGAATTAAAAAATATGTTAGTATAAGATTGACATCCTAATAATATAACAAGAAAAACATGTATTAAATAACAAGAATACTAATTATTGCATAAAGAAGCAATAGAGGAATTTTAATGAACTCTTTTTGGACTCTATTTGTTTTAGGTAATATGTGGAACTACATTAAAATCACAATATCCTTACATATTTCCTCGTTTATGGCAGCAGTGTCAGACCGACAAGGTTACTGCAATCTCACGAGTTGGAGGATATTGACGGTAAACTGAGATCAACATTTTGTTCTGAAAGATTTTATTTCAGTGTTCACAGGCTTGCAATTGAGTTTTAAATGTATTCTGGTCATCAAGAAGCTTGAAATTCCGATTGTTTGGAATACGAGGATGAAAATTATACAGTAGACAGGAGTAACAATAACCCATAGTTGTGGTGAGGTAGAGTGGCCTTGATTTAACCCTTCAGAAATGAAATTTGTGTGGGTGAACAAAAAAATAGCATCATCCAAGCTGGTATGCAAAACATCTGCATGCAGCGACTGTGTAGAAAATGATTAAGTGCTGAAATTCGGTTGAGGAATGCACAGGAGGCGTTTCAACTGATCTCAGATCACTTATCTTGTTGCTCGGCCTGTGAAAAAGAGGTATATCTGCTGAGAATACATCTTCATGACTCAGTCGATATTACAAGGAGAGAGTCTGAGGTCACAACTGCGATTTTGTGGAGGAGGACAAACCTTTGACTCGTGAGAGAACACGGTCGCTTCATTTGTCAGCACAAAAGATGACACAGTGGGCAAAGGCATGACGTGAGGGTGAGAGTGAGTCGGACAGCTGTTAAAATCTCTCTTTCTCACGCTCTCACTTTCGCTCAATCCCAGAGGACACCTCTTTGTGTCATCCATCAACCACTTCTCCACAAGTGATGACAGATGCTTGTTGATTAAACAGTCAATAAATTCAAATACACACACGTACATACACAAACAGGCACAGAGGAAACATACATTTCTGAATGGGACATTGCGATGCTGCGCAATCGGGCTTATTTATGACCTAACGAGGTCTGTATGGAGGCCCGTTTCTGCCTCAAGAGAAAAAATAAAAGTAATTGGGAGGTAAAGTTTCACAATAAGTCATAGTTATTAGATATAAAGCCACATTATAAATGGATAGTTCACCCAAAAATGAAAATTCTGTCATCATTTACTCACCCTCATGTCGTTCCAAACCTGTATGAGTTGCTTTATTATGTTGAACACAAAAGAAGATATTTTGAAGATTGCTGGTAATCAAACAGTTGGTGGTTGCCATTGACTTCCATAATAGGAAAAAAAAATACTATGGAAGTCAATGGCAACCACCAACTGTTTGATTACCAGCAATCTTCAAAATATCTTTTTTTATGTTCAAAATAAGAAAGCAACTCATACAGGTTTGGAACGACATGAGGGTGAGTAAATGATGACAGAATTTTCATTTTTGGGTGAACTATCCTTTTAAGATACGAAGAATTAACTGTGAGATATAGTTACATTTTGAAATTTAAAGGCTGGAATACACTACATGACTTTTGCCCTGATTTCCCCCCGATTTACAATGTGGATAAGTTGACGCTAGTTGATGAAAGTCAGAGACAGTCTGCAGATTTAAGTTGACAGATTTAATAGAAAATCACAGTGTATGATGGTCACAGACTCCAGTTTTTTAGCTTCAGACTATGAATCTATCCAATCGTAGGATATCACACGTTTGATATTTTCAGCCAACTTTAGAACACATATTGTTTTCATTTGTCACGAAATTCATTGGCAATTTCATAGCAACAAGAGGCACATTTTTGAGTGAATTTGTTGTGATCGGAACAACTTGAAAAACTGGTAGTGTGTGATCCTCAGTTGTCTGTTGAGATTTTTTTTTAAAGATTTATTTTTGGTGCGTTTACCTTTTATTAGGATAGTATTGTAGACAGGAAGCAAAGAGGGAGGGAGAGAGGGGGGACAGGAACGGGAAAGGCCGAAGCGCAATGCCGCTATATGACGGCACTCCCCACGAGGCTATTGGTGCCAACAAATCTGTTCAGATTTTAAAAGTCGTGTAGTGTATTCCAGCCTTAAGTCATAATTATGAGATAAACAGTACAAAGTCATACAGTTGCAATGCTAGATTTAGTCACATTTTAACATAAGGTCACAATTACAAGAAACTATGTAAAAATTATAAGAAAGTCACACTGTGATATATAAAGTCACATTTTGAGATATAAAGACTCAATTGTTGAGATACAGTCACGACTGTGAGATTTTAAGATTTAAACATCACATTTTGAGATTAAAGTCATATTTTGAGATATAAAGTCTCAGTTGTGAGTTAAGAAACCAAGTCATAATTATGAAATGTAAAGTCACATTGCGAGATATCAAGTAATATTTTGAGATATAAAGTCACAATTATGATAAACTAAGTCATAATTATGATATACTGTATAGTCACACTGTGAGATGTAAATGCTCATTTATGAAATATATAATCATATTTAGAGATATAGTTTTACCATCACAAGAAACAAAGTCACAATTACGAGAAATTAAAGCACAATTACAAGGTTTAAAGTCACAATTACCTTTTTTTTTCACTCTGAGGTAAAAAGAGGTTTTCCACAGGTCTGAGCCATGATACCTTCCATAAGATATGGTTA